CAGATTCCTCCTTAATATGTATGGCATACTTCATGCTGCCAAAGAATTGTGGCATGCAATGCTGCTGTACCAGCCTTTTCTATGGAACTGCCATCCTTTCTTCACTCACTTTTAATATAGTGTTCAGACAGCCCAAATGCCAAATTATGCTTTGTCAGCCCCAATCTGCAGTTGTAATAAAAGGCAATTTCAGCACTCGTGCATAGTGCTATGGCAGAAAGAGGGGGTTATTCCATGGCGGAGCTACTGCCATGTCTTAAGATCTGCCAGCTCTTGGTGGCCAGGACAGAAGGCTGGGGATAGTTTTCCTCCCCCTCCCTGCTCCATATTTTCTTTTTCTTTTGCAATCCACGAGAAGGAATGAACTACACCAGATCCAGTGCTGGAATACTTGAGATCTCATTTTTTGCTCAGGCAGGGATCAGCAAACTTTTTCAGCAGGGGGCTGGTCCACTGTCCGTCAGACCTTGTTGGGGGCCGGATTATATCTTTTTTGGGGGGAAGAATGAATTCCTATGCCCCACAAATCACCCAGAGATGCATTTTAAATAAAAGCACACATTCTACTCATGTAAAAACACCAAGCAGGCTCTACAAATCACCCAGAGATGCATTTTAAATAAAAGGACACATTCTACTCATGTAAAAGCATGCTGATACCCAGACCGTGCGGGGGCCGGATTTAGAAGGTGATTGGGCTGGATCTAGCCCCCGGGCCTTAGTTTGCCTGCCCATGGGCTAGGGAAACAAAAGTGCTTAACATCTTTCAGATCCTGGGTGACCCCCCCCAACACCTCATTTTGGTCAATCAAACATCTGCACATGCAGAACTTTCAATGCGCCTTGGGAAACAGCGACATCCTACTGGCGAATTTTGGCAAAATGGCACTTACACCAATCACAACAGCACCATGGCCAGCTGAATTACAGCTGTAGGATTGCTCTCACAAGGTTTTCGGGACTTCTATGCTTTTGCATTTTAAGATTTTGCCGTTTTAAGGTTCACCCCATTAACTATATTTCTTCCTGTTAATTTTGGCCAGGGGATCAGTGATGAATGGACAGCTAATCACCTTTTGACTAGACTCTCCCAATTGCCCCAATTTCAGTATCTGTTCTCATGGAGGAGTAGACTTTAATAGCTGAATAGCTTGTGTGTGTTTTTTCTTTCTTTTAATAGCGAAATAGCATTATTTTGCTAGGAAAAAATGAAAAGAACAAAAATTCAAGGAAATGAGTAATCAAAGCCATCTTCTCTGTGGAAACAGAATCTGTCATTGGAGCAATTGAGAAAGGCTATTCAAGGGGGCAATTAACAGGCTAGTTATCCTTAATCCCCCAGCCAGAATCATCAGGAAGCAATAAAACAGGCTCAACATGTAATATTGAAGATGCCAGCATTATTTGCTGAACAGGATTTATTTGCATGTAAACTGGGGTGGTCAGAAGCTCACAGATTTGGACTTCAAGAAAATTTGGGGTAAAGGGGGGTCTGAGGACATGAAAGTGGTCAAAAAATGGGGTTGGGGTGAAGGGTTCTGCTGCGACTCTTTACTAGCAGCAACAGTGGTAGTGATGGTGTTCCTTTCTTCCCACAGCACCCCTTGAAATAGTGCAGTCATGTGAAATATGGTGGCAGGTAGTGGTTCAGCTAGTAAGGGCACTTGTGTGTTCCACACAGTCCACATTTGAAATTCCCCCAGATAATAGCCAAAATTCTCCCCCTCCCCCCCAAAAAACCCTCTTTTAGCACTATTATAATAGGACCATGGCAGTGATTGGGGGTGGAGACTTTTACAGTGTTCTGGTTTCCTGCATAATTTTTTCCCCTTTTCATAAATTCATTAGTAAAATTAATAGATGCCAATTTCCAAATACAGTATCAGTTTCAAAGTTTTTATCTTTGTTTACTAAATACCAGCAAAATAAACATGCTAAATTACATCGCTCTCTAAGGCATCAGAAAATATTCCAATGCAAGCTGAACGTTTTCTGATGCACATTGCCCTATGGAAATTGCCCTAATTTGCACTGGAGATTTTTCTCTCTGCAAGGGGCTTATCAATAGACCACCAGCTGATCTCCAATGGGGTCTTGCAGAACCCTTTGATGGAACTTTGAAGGCTGTGCCTTTGATGGCACAGCTAGATGGCAAACCATGTGGGCAAAAAAGAATCAGCTGACAGCCCTATCAAATCTGGTGGTTGACAGGTGGACAACCTCACCCAACAGTCAAATATGGCTGACAGGGGTGGGGGAGATCATGACCACCAGTTAGAGACCTAGACAATCACACACACTACATGTAACCTCATTGTTCTGAGTGCATGAGAGAACAGAATTCCAAGACCTCTGTTTACAAAATCTTTAGGAAAGATTTAGGAAATGTTTCATACTCTTGCTAATCCCCCCCCATTCAAGTTAAAATGCTTAAATGTGCCTTTTAACAACCAAGGGATCTTCCTATCCCAAATAAGAGGAAGAAATATAACACTGGGCACATTAGCAGATGTAATTTTCAATTATATGAATTTGTCCTGCATTGTTTATAATAATACATTTATTGCAGGCCTCTCATACAAATGGTTAAGGAAGGAGTGATTGAATATTTAAAGCTTCCCAGAAAAAAAGAGAGAAACCAAACACTGAAAGAATATAAATGAGTCGCTGAAAAAAATGTTATGAAATTCATCATGTTATGTTAAAATACGATACCTAATCATTTACAGGAAATTAGTGAAAAGATTGACTGGCAAAAGAAAACACCTAATCAGAATGCCTTTATTCATTCCTTGTTGCAGGGTGATATGGGATGAGTGAGCAGAGAAGAAAGATAAGTCAAGAAGGACCTGGGAAAAGAAGAGGTCAAGAACAAAAAGGAACAACAAAAATAATATAGGGACTCAGGGCTAGAGAGACTAAATCGCAGAAACATTTTTCCTTTAAAAAAATAACACATAGACAGTTTCCATAACACTTCCTTAGCACAATAAACTTCAATTATCCTCTTTCAAAGAAGAAGCTAGAAGGGTGAGAAGAATACATATAACTGAAGAAATCAAAATGAGAGGTTGTCATTAATATGAGCCAAGCCATGTGTTGAGTTGACCAGTTAAAGCAAACAGAGAGTCTGGGTCAGTTCTCCTGATTGATCTTTCAATATAAGCATTGTTTCTGAGATTATTGTTCTTATGAATGTGATTCACAGCCTGTTAGTCAACTAGCCAGCCAACTCCAGAGAATACTCCACTTGCCAATTTCTATTAGAATGTCAAATGTATTAACTGTGTGACATGGAACATGTTTTATAAATGTGGGAGTGGTGATATAGGGAGAATCAAATTGACTTTGGCATCTAAGTTGCTTTAAAGGATGAAGCAGATTTTTATGATGTTCCCAATCATATTCCACTGAACCTAATCCCACCTGAAATATACCGGTATTTACCATAAGCTGTTAAGGGCTTGAGCAGGTCAATTTTCTTCCTTTTCCGTCTATTTTTCCTTTCCTTTCCTTTTAAATTACAAACGAATATACTTCTGCATATTAAGGAGTCCCTCAAGTACATAGAAATCCCCTTATATTTGGCTGTTCCTCCATCATTTTCAAACTAAGGGCCCAAAATTGTTGTTTTCCCTCTGGTATATTTTTAGCCCATTGCCCTTACCATAGTTTCAATCAGAAGAATCATGTATTGCCCCCACCATGTCTGTTGTTTGCATACAAGACATAAATCAATTTCTACTTCAAAAAAAAAATGTAACCTAAAACAAAAGCTGTCAAGTGACTATGCAGATGCATAGGAATATTGAATGCTAAGAGTGGCTCAAACAGAAATAGCCTCTTTAGTATTACTTTGTTTGTTTATTCCATCTATTTCTGTACCACCTAACTTACAAGAGAACAAAGACCCTCTTAAATAAAGTGAAATTTACAAAAAACAGAACCAGGAACATCAGCCAGTGACGTTCTTAATATTCCCCCTCCTTTCTCCCCTCCCCAATATAAAGTGACACGCTACAATTCTAAGCAAGTATGGTATGTCTGGAAGTTCAGAGTGTACAAAAATCTCCTGTGACTATTCAGGATTGGATAGAAATTCAATTCAGTATGCATGGCAGGGATAGTACCTGTGGTGGGGGACACATTGTGCTCCTTCTAAGGTACCTTTGGTCCCTACCCTGCACACAGCTCTCATCTGTGGCTCCTAGAAGCTGTCAGCATGCGACAATGGCCACATCGCTGGGATGGCTTCAACTGGCTGGCTAAACCAGGTAAGGGCAGCCAGTGGGTCTCAAACCCTCAATGAGTTAGGGACTTCCTCTGCATGTGAAGACAGGCTCTGGCAGATGGAGTGGATGAGACTAATAGTGGGTCCATTGGTTAAGAAGGTAGTTTCTGCACAAGCTGCACAGGGAAGTGAGGGACAGATGGGGATTGCCAACCTGGGAATGTAGCCCTTCTAGGGCAATAGTGTGACTGCCACACAATAGTGTGACTGCCATTGACTCCAAGTCAATGGAGTCAAGACTGTGCTGGCAGAGACTGATGGGCACTGTAGTTCAAATTATTTGAGGGCACCAGGTTGGGGGAGGCTGTGGTAAAACAGTTTCCCTGCTTTCATACCTCCCTGCCCTCCCTCTGCCATCTGATCCTTTCTGCTCATCCTCAGAAGCTTTAAATAGTCAACATTATTTCCAAGGCAAGTTTGAGCTTGCCCTTAAACACTCCAGGAATAATCCTTGAGAGTTTGCTCAAATGTGTGCGTCTATCCCTGTAACAACATATCCCAGAGCTGGCCCTGACTGAGGTCACTCATAAAGAACTGAAATGCCATTCCCAATAGATGAGAGGGTGGCATATAACAGGGGCCCCAACATCCTGGCACTGGCGCCATTGTTTTGTCTCCCAGAGCTATCTATGTGCATAGTGAAGCTTGTTTCAGCAAAACCTAAACTGAAAGCCTGCAATCCAAAAAGAACACAGAGATCCACTGTGATCTGGAGGTGAACCAAACTGTTTATTTCCATGTATGATGATTTCATCTATCTAATACATTTGTACAGCTTCAGAAATGCCAAGGATCTATTCTCAGAGGTGTGGAGTGCCTTCGTAGAACATTTTAAGTAGTGGTTCATTCTGAAGGCACAGTTGGGTGCTGATGGGGGGGGGAGAGAGAGCATTGCATATAATATCCAGGTATTTAAAATTACATTCCACTAAAATATGAAGCTCTATAGCCAGGTTCAGCTCTACAACCTGTTGCCACGGATGCCATAGACACTATCCAATGTCAGTGGCAGCGTGCAGCTGCAAGATACCTTTTTTAAATAGGAAAATGTGGTCAAAAGTGGTCCAAATGTAATTGTTTTAAATGAAGAAACGTCTGCTATCACATAGTGCAGTACACTTTGGCATGATACACAGCACCCAACTGAATAATGTGTGCAGTCAGAACAGTATCCTCAAATTCTGTTCCATATGTGCTAAAAGAAGAAAAAAAGCAAAAATGAAATCTGGCCTACGTTCAATAAACTGAGTGGGAAGATCCACACTTCCACTGCTGATCCTCATAGGCTAGAACTACAGTAAGGAAGTTGGAGAGTTATTCTCTAAGGCCACACCCACATCATGCATTTAAAGCAGTACCATACTACTTTAAACTGTCATGCCACCTTGCCTCCCCGCCCCCGCCCCAAAATCTTTGGAACTATAGTTTGTTAAAGGTCCTCCACACACAGAGCTACAATTCTGAGAGTGAGCATAAGAAGAGCCTGCAGGATCAGGCCAATGGCCCGTCTAGTCCAGCATCCTGTTGTCCCAATGGCCAACCAGATGCCTGTGGGAAACTGCAAGCAGCATGCAAGCACAAGAGCCCTCTTGTCCCCTGCAGTTTCTAGTAACTGATATTCAAGAGCATAAATCATGTGATGCTAATTGCAGGGTAGGGGAGAAGAACACCTGAACAGAGCTTGTATGCTTTTATGAAGCATTTTACTACTGCACACCTGTGCTCCTGTGCACTGCTAAAACAACCCAGCCCAAAAAACCAGAGAGAATTTTGGATGAGCATTTTGGAAGTACCATAAAGACAGAATACTCTCCTCTGAATTGTATCCTGGTACTTGTCGTCTTCCCTTCAACAGAGAAAGGAGTCGTGGTTGCACCCTTTGAAAGCAATGGAATCGGAGAAAGGAAAATCCTCTCCTTAAGATCCCTGAAGCTGCAGGTGTTAGCAGCAGGCTGTCACAAAGATAGCATGACACAGCCAAGTAAATGATTACATGTGCTATTATGATAAAACTTCCTTTGCTGATAATTTAGTTCCTGTTTACCTGTCCTGATATCCTACAAGCTGGCTGGAGCAAACTGCTTCTCATCGTCCTTGCCCCATTTGCCCTCCCTCTTCATTCAGATGCACAGTGAGATGTTTGGGAAACCTGCAGAGCACAACAGAAACATCCGTAAGATTGGTCCTGATTAAATTAAGTTGCAACCACATCCTAAAACTGACAACTGGATTCGCCCTGGGTTTGGGCTCCAGGGAAGAGACAAACCATTGCAATGGGTTTTGCCTTCAAATTCCACTTTTCCCTAGCTTTGGAAAACAAACCATTTCCCTTATTTTAATTTAAGGGTCAAATGAAGGGAGGAAGAGGCAGGAAGAATCTCTAAAGTGTACAGAGGTACCTTCCAGCATATTACCAGCAGGGGTCATGCATGTGACGGCATCAATTCAGGTAACACAACTGACAAGTCCTATCTGTTTGACAACAGGAAAGGCTTTTGGTGATCTAGCTGATCTCTTCCCATACAAAGCTTTTCCTCTTAACCCTCCATATACCATTCCCACTTGTGCCTGTTTTAGCAGAGCACAGAGAGTTCAAAGAACTGCCCCTGTCGGTGATGTGCTAGGTGGCGGGAGGTAGGGACTGGGAAAGAGGAGGAAAGGCCTGTCACCCCCCCCCCTTTGCCTCACCCCCTCTCCCAGTGTGTGGGTGGGTTTTTTTGCTTTTTACGGTGCCAATTAACGGCAAGCTGGGGTAGGTGGGAGGTCAGTGCAAGAAGCCTCCCTTCTGCCCCCCACCACACCGCGTGTCATCGTCTTTCAAGCATCTGCCAACTCAGTTTGGTCGGTGGAAGGGAAAAGGCCGGGCAGCTTGTTTGGTTTTCTTTTCTTCGTGGGCACTTTACTACTTCAAAAGGCTCACCTTTGGTTCACAGGGGCCAGAGGGCAAAGGTCAATGGGTACAGCTTGACCTCTCTTTCACCCACCAAAGAGGAAAAGGAGGGGAAGAGACACTTTTCTACTTTAATCTTTCTTCGGCCTCCCATTGTTCCTCAAAGTTTTGTGGAGGGAAACAATGGGCTCCTTATAAGCTCACACTTCCACACGGAATATACTGAAGGAGTAAATAGAACACACACGAATTCCACCTGAAGGAGAAATTGAGGGGGTTCCCCCCCCCCTGCATTGGAATGTAACAAATATGTTGATGTCTTTTAGAAGCAGTTGTTTTATTTTGTATTTGAAACAAACACTCTCTCTCTCTCTCTCTCTCTCTCTCTCTCTGTGTGTGTGTGTGTGTGTGTAAAAACACTCACTAGCCCTAGGGTATTGAGGAGTAAGTTAACATTTCACAAAGCTCTCCACAGCTGGTGATTATATCCCTTGCAATGTGTACAAAGACATTCAGAAAAGGAGCAGAGAAAGTAAACAGTATCACTTCTGGGGAAGATTTGGGGGTGGGGGGGAAGGAGGAGGAGAAGCAGATGAAATTTAATCTGGCAGGCAGCCCAGCCACCAACTTAAAACAATACAGAGAAGGGAAGCCAAAGAGGAAAGAAAAACAGAGGGGAAAGTGTGGAGAGACCAGCGTGTGCAAAGGGAGGCGGGGAGCCCTCCACAAAGGTTTCAGGAATCTTTGGGGGCCACTAAATAGCAGATTAGATTGCAGGACTAGGCTTCAGGGGGCTAAATTCCTGCCTCATTATATAATGTGTGTGTGAGCATTCTTAATTGAATTGGCAGAGCCCCCAGCTGTTTACCTCTCATTGGAAAAAATGAGAGGAAGGCACCGGGCCTTGAAAAAGGCAGACACAAAGTCGTGGCTTTGGCATCCGAGAAAACAAAGCAGAAAATAGCATTGTGTTGGCTTCAAGCTTTGCCGTTTTGTTTTAGAACTAGTTTGCACTTAACGACTTGGATGTAACTGCTGTGTTAAGACATTTTAACACGATTCTTACCTACAGCATCTACATGAGGCACAGCTGGGCATAGGTGTTGTCCCTGGTCATGCTGAAAGGCTATTGCAGACTGAAAGGAGATTAACAGGATGGTCACGCCTGCTACTGCCACCCCAGCATTAGCTTAGTTGTGATCTTACCAGCAGCTAAGTCAGAAGCACAACGACAGCTACTGAAACAAGTGTCAGCCTAGCAACACTGACAGACCCTTCCAAGGTAGCCCAAGTAGCCCAAGAGGCCCGTCGCAGATGATGTTCCCAAATTAGCCATGCAGGAGAGTCACCAATTAGGGTGACCACTTAGGCATTGCTCCAAATGAAGAAATTCCTCATCAAAAAGAAGGCACAAATGTGCACAGCATTGACATATGATAAATTATATGTAGCAGATGCAAATTTAGAAGTAATTACTATAAATGAAATAGAAATGCAATATATTTCACCACACTGGAGAAAACTGTGACTAGGTGACCTGTGTGCCTGCTCAATCTGCTGTTCAGGCGAGTACGAGGGGACATAGTAGAAGTTTATAAAACTATGCACGCCATCGGGAAAGTGGATTGAGAAAAGTTTTTCTTCCGCTCACCTAACACTAGAACTCAGGGGCACCTACTGAAGTTGAATGTTGGAAGATTCAGGAAAGATAAAAGGAAGTACTTCACGCACACGCTCCCATAGGAGGCAGTGATGGCCACCAGCTTGGATGGCTTTAAAAGATTAGACAAATTCATGGGGGACAAGGCTGCCAATCACAATGGCTATGCTCTGCCTCCATGGTCAGAGGCAGAATGCTTCTGAATGCCAGTTGCTGGAAACCATAGAAGGAGAGAGTGCTCTCATGCTCAGGCCCTACTTGCAGATTTCCCACACGCTTCTGGTTGGCCCCTCTAATAACAGCATGATGGGCTAGATGTGCCATTGGCCTAATCCAGCAGGCTGCTCTTACATTCTTATGAGAGTGATTAAACTTGGGGTGTCTGTATTAATTTTCCTACTTAACTGCAGGTAATTTTTTTAATTTTTTTTTTTTTGTGTGAATCTGAATGTAGTACTTAACTGCAATGCATCATCAGCAAATTATATGACTTGGTGTTATCTGGCAGGGTTATATTTTCAAAAGAGCTCTTGATTAATTCAAAATGGGTTCTATTGAAACCCTGTCCTATTATCATAAGTGGAACAAGGATGGTAGCATTTCTTTTCTCATGGGGATTCTCCATCTGGAATCCTGTGCTTGGTTACCTGGAAGTCAGCTCCACTGAACTCACTGGAACTTGTTTCAGAGTAGACATATGTAGGACTGCATTGTTGGTATATGAAATGAAGAAGACAGTGATAAATTGGACTATTGACCTGAAAAACACAATGCAGTGACCTAAAATCTACAAATATTCTGTTATAGTGGTGTTTTATAGACTTTATTTGTGGATACAAACTAAATATTTACCATTGCCCCTGCTGGCCCAGTAAGTTTTAAATGGCTCTTCAAGAAATCTTAACTCCTCCTCCATTCCCAACAATACAGATGGGGGAGATGGGGCCTCTAGCTTATTGGAACTCTGCTCACCTTCCAAGATGGGTCTTGCTCAACAGAAGCCTACCAGGTCATGGTGACCATGATCTCAGAAATGTAGTCTGAGTCATCTTAGCAATGGGAACAGGAGGAGGGAGAGCTGCCATGTTTTTAGATTATCCATCCTCACTAGAAAAAAAGACAAAATACTTTTTTTTTAAAAAAAAGTATGCAGACTTCACCCAAAAAAGGTGATGGGATTATATCAAGCAGTATACACCTTTAATTCACTAGGTACCTCAGCCCTTCTTCCTACCCTTTTCAATGATTGTCTTAAGTTTCACATATGGTAAGCATAAAGTTGTGGTTGCTTTATATTGCTCCCATGATGCCCCTCACCAAGTACTGTGCAGACCACTCCTGCAGAAATCCTTATTGAACCCAGAGGATTATAACTACTGATGGCAAGTGACAGGTGTCCCTTTTTTGGGTAACTTGTTGGGAGCAAGTGGTTACTGGTCAACCCAAAGAGCTAGTAGATGAAACTGATTGGATTGACTTCAACCTGGATTCTGGCCCAGATTTGGACCTGGAATGTCATTGGTTGCCAAAATGAATTACCTACAGTGGGAGAGACAGGAAGAATACAACCCTGTTGGTTCTGTTAGATCTCTTGGCGGTATTTGATACCATTGTCAAAGTTTTGTCTCCCAACTTAAAACTCTGTGGGTTGGAGATTGCAAGCACTGTTTTGGGTGGCTCCATTTTTACCTTGAGGACTCATTCCAGGAGGTGGCATTCAGCCCCATGCTATCTAGTTTGGGGGTCCCTTGGTGATCCAGTCTGCCCCCCATGTTGTTCAACATTTGCGTGAAGCCGCTGGTTAAAGTCATCAGAGGATATGGTGTCATCGATATGCTAATGATGCCCAGTGGGTAATTAGAGTATATTCATTTCTAGTATCTTTTTCCAGTGTTAGACATAGGACAAGAAGTCAAACAGAAAGAGGTTCATAGCTCTGTGGCAGTGCAGATGCACTGTAGGTAGAATGAATGACCTATAACCAATCAGTGGTATCTTTAGTTAAAAGAATTGGGAAAGCCTGTGGCCTTACTGAACAGCAGTAGGCTAGACAGAACAAAGGTCCAACTCCATAGACGGCGGTTTCATTTGTCCTTCATAATCCCCTTACTATGTTAGTACCCTGTACATTAAAATAGTGTTGCTCATTGCCCCATGTTTTAAAGGGTTGCCCTCTGCTGCACAATGTTACCATACTTTATATCTGAAAAGTTGATCTCTTGCTCTTGTCCTTCCATTATACTTATTATTTCTTGTTGTAGAATACCACACAACTCGCAGCAGTATTCACTGATCCATACTCAGGACTTTCCCACAGATTATCCTGGCCACTCAGTTTTGTTTTGTTTTTAATGCATACCATCAGTATGGAATTTTCAAAAGGCTGAGACTTTAATCTCATTTCGATATGACCACTGTGAACTGGGCCTCCAAGACCTCTCTTTGGGCTTAGGTAGCCTTGACCTTTGAACTCATCTGACCAACATATCATGAGCTTGACTTTCAAAGACATTGTAGCAGAGGGAAAATTCTGAATTTGGGATATATTGCATGCACACTTTTCCGCCTGGAAGCCAACTGGCCACTGGGCTTTGCACATAAATAAAGGTGAATCTGCTTCACTCATGAATCTGCTACAAGTGATTCCCAGGGCAAGAGAAGATGAAAGATCTGCAGCTTTGATCTCTTAAGCTAAGGCTGTAAATTAAGGCTTTTCTTCCATGGCAGGGCCAATTTAAATGGGCGGGAATAGCATATCTTGCTCTCTTATCTTGGGCTGGTTGCATCCAGTTTCAGGAATGAAAAAAATGCATGTTCAACTGCCCTCATATGTCTATATTCTCTTTTTGGAGGAGAGAGCACTGATTAATACCTCTAGACAGCTCTCCACCTACTGCCTATTTCCCTGTCTTTGCTGCCCATTACATTAATACAGATCTGGTGCCAGCAGTCAGTTGGGTTGGGCAACAGAAGCACCCACACTTTGACCCACACCAGCTTTGCTGCCACCCCTTGCCCTCTCCTCCAGGGCTCTGCACAGCACACAGCTATTCTAGTGGTGGGCAGGCAGATGTGCCACCTCTGAATGGGAGAAGAAAATACACCACAGAATATGTGCACTGAAACTGTGTGGGGTTTAGGCACCCTGCTGAGAGCCAACTGAAGTCTGACACCAGCCCTGCATTCTTAGATTGTGTTCACTACCCACAGCTTGGTCCAAATTCACTGAAGGTAAGAAGAAGTCTTCCACCCTTGCGACCAACTAAGGATCAAGCCCTAAGCACATACATTAGAGGGACACGGGTGGCGCTGTGGTCTAAACCACTGAGCCTCTTGGGCTTGCCAATCAGAAGGTCGGTGGTTCAAATCCCTGCAATGGAGTGAGCTCTCGTTGCTCTGTCCCAGCTCCTCCCAACCTAGCAGTTCGAAAGCATGCCAGTGCAAGTAGATAAATAGGTACAGCGGTATCTCGGGTTAAGAACTTAATTCATTCTGGAGGTCTGTTCTTAACCTGAAACTGTTCTTAACCTAAGGTACCACTTTAGCTAATGGGGCCTCCCGCTACCACTGCACCGCCGCCACGTGATTTCTGTTCTCATCCTGAAGCAAAGTTCTTAACCCGAGCTACTATTTCTGGGTTAGTGGAGTCTGTAACCTGAAGCATCTGTAACCCGAGGTACCAATGTACTGCTGTGGCAGGAAGGCAAACAGTGTTTCTGTGAGCTCTGGTTTCTGTCACGGTGTTCCGTTGTGCCAGAGTGATTCCCCGCCAGAAGCGGTTTAGTCATGCTGGCCACATGACCCAGAAACCTGTCTGTGGACAAACACCAGCTCCCTCGGCCTGAAAGCGAGATGAGCGCCGCAACCCCATAGTCACCTTTGACTGGACTTAACCGTCCAGGGGTTCTTTACCTTTTACCTTAAGCACATACGTACTTCATCCTCCCATACTCCCTGGAGCATTTAATATTTGAACTCTTTCCATCTACCACCAACAGCAAAAATGCTACCCATCACTTGTCCAACAGCACGTGGCTATTTAAAGAAAGCTAAGGGTGATGAGAAAAGGCACAGTTTCTCCCTCAGGAAAGCTAGCTCTATTTTTAAAAGCTTAATGAGAAATAGAAGAAGCTTGGGTTAGCCAAAAGAATGAAAATAAATGGGTCCTCTTCTCCCCACAGTCACCAGCTCTTTAGCTGAAAAATGCATGGTTTTGGTTTGCCTGCAGGTGATCACTTTGTATCGACTCAGACATTTTGTTGCTATAATCTAATCAAAAGGGGAGACATAGTGCCATTTTTTAAGACAAGATGTCTTCCCAGTTCCTCCTCTACAGTGTCTATTTCCTTAAGCAAGGAAGAATCCAGCCAGTGGTTTACATTATGGTGCTCCCCCTTTTGCTATAATTCTTTACCTTAGTTTTGTTTTTGTTTTTTACCACGGGGGCATTCAGGAGAGGAACATGAGACACTTCAGCATGACAGACACAACCAATAGGAGAGATGTGCCCAAGACACTGCAGAAGGTGCTACT